ACTCAGAGCGAATACAATGATGGGATGTTAACCAGTCAGGTAATATCAAGTCTTTTAAAACAATGTCTTTGTTAACAGAACACCACCCTGCTAACAGGCTTCTCCCTATATCTGAGGAAATGGCCAGGTAGAATAAACTTGATACTGCTACTCAGAAGCCTGTATTCCACTGCTGATTTTATGGGATATCAAAGTCAGCTCCCTGCCATTTTCATGTTCCTTAAATCTGCTCAAGCAGAAAGAAAATTACTACAGAACACAACTAAAATAATATGCTTTGGTTCTTTTTCATCTCATAGTTCTCTTTAAGATCCTTTTTTTGAAAGGCCACTGGAATTACTTTAAATTCCTTTTCAAGTCCCAGCTCCCCAGAACATTATCTCCTGCACTAATACTCCCTTCCCTTCACACAAATATGAACTCATACCTCTGAAAAGCATATTTTTACTAAAGCATTTCAAATTCCACTGAACTATTTACCAAGACAGCTTATTAGGTGAAGAAGCATTCACTTTCCTTGAATGGCTTATCAGGTGGGAAAACCTTGCTGTGAAGTAAACTGATCCTAGGGATGTAGTTTTTAAGGTATTTCCTTTAAGGCACTATAAGCAAAAAAGACCTCAAATATATATATATATATATATATATACACACAGTATCTTTTATAACTTCCTGTTATGAAGTGGCTTGGCTTAAATAACCAAGGGTGGAAAATAACACACACTTAGGTAGGAGGGACAAGAGTAAAATTAAACAGCAGACTTCAAAAAAGCAGGCTAACAGTCTTGAGAATGAGTGGCCAGATCCAAAAGGGCTGCCAGGCCAAGCAGATTTGCCACAAAGAGGTAGTTTTTAATCAGTTAGTTCCCTCTGGCATGGAGTTACAGTGGATGGTTAGGAAGGAAGCAACAGAAGTTGTCTCACCCAACTTCAGCACAGCTACTGATATACTGGAATATCTGTAGCGTGTGGGTGAAAGTGTTTCAACACATCTTTAGCTTCACAGCAGAGAATCAAACTCTGAGCAGGAAAGATTAATCCACAGTGATTAAAGGCAACACACTGATGGGCTCCAATAATATTAAGTATATTCACTGCTTACTCAGACATCAGGAAAGTACCTCACTTCTCTAGCACACAGTGCTTTACACTAAGACCAGGAGGGCAAGATCCGAAATCAGAGCGACTAAGTAGTAGATCTGGGAGGCCTTACACTTACAGCAATAAAGACAAATGCAAACGTCTGTTCTTTGGTTAAGGCGCTAGGAAGGCTCCTGCATAAGGTCAGGGTAGATGATAACTAACGCATCTCCTACAAGAAAAAGATTTAGGGGGTTACGACGGGTTGTATATTTGAATCTGAAAATAGCAGGAGAGTCACTCATTGAAAAGGCTACTGTGAGGTAAGAGAATAAGTTAAACTGCTCTTCGTTCCCTGTGTGACAGAACTGGGAGGCAAGAGCTACGAAGAAAAAGAAACTTCAGATTTAATTTCAAATGGTCACTTCATCAGCTCAAAGCGAGAAAGTCTCTGCTCCTGTCACTTCCTGGTTGCGCCAATTCAGTAGTGAGGGCACGCACAAGGCAGCTGATAACATGACTGATCCTTTGAAGCATTAGAAGACAGTCTCAGCAAGGCAGTTTCCACACTCCCTCCGTCCGAGTCACATCTTCAGCAAATTAAAAACCTGACACTTGACCACATTTTAGCCCTTAAAATACAAAGTTTGGCTGATGTCAATGGCGGGTCAGCTGATAGCACAACTTTACAGCAATTGAGTAGGTTCACAAACAAGAGGTCGCAAACTGGCGTGTCAGACCTTAAACAATTTAGCTCCAAGAATAACCCTTCAGTCATTTGTAGATGAACCTTCACCAACGAGGCAAAGGAAAGGTCCTCCTCTTACAGCCAGCTACTATAATCAGAACAAACCAGTACAAAGTTGCCTTCATTCCACTGAAGGCAAGCATGGCAAGAGTTCTAGAAAAGGGCAAGTCTGGGTCAGCCTTTGATTTAGGCACTTACAAAAAACATTCTATTCTTTACATGTCAAATCAAGTATTTTTCAAAGGAAAACAGCCTCTGTGCATACAGAGCAATTCCACAATGTATTTCTGTTGTCATTACTTTCATTTCTGTTTCTACATAGGATTCTGCACCATTTATATTCAAGTATTTTAGCATCTCCTTCTAGGATTCCCTTCCAAATAGAAGACAAAAAAGGACCACCACACAAAAAGACAAGCGATTTTCCCTTTATAAGTCAAATTTAATTATTAAATTTAAATACCAGCCAGTCGTTTGTCTTCAGCTCTCTGACTTTTTACAAAGAGCTGGAGAAGTGATACAGCCACACACAAACAATTCATGCCATTCAAAAGGGAGGCCCACCTCTGCCCTGTTAGCAGTGCCACTTCTCCAGCAGTCCACACGTACAGCCACTTGTTTCTCCCTCAGCACGACCAGCTCAGTTGTGCTGGACAGCTGGAGGACCAGAGCACAGAAATCCTCCGGCTTACAAGTAACCACATTTCACAGAATCATAGAATAGTTAGGGCTGGAAAGGACCTTAAGATCATCCAGTTCCAACCCTCCTGCCATGGGCAGGGACACCTCACACTAAACCATCTCACCCAAGGCTCTGTCCAACCTGGCCTTGAACACTGCCAGGGATGGAGCATTCACAACCTCCCTGGGCAACCCATTCCAGTGCCTCACCACCCTCACAGGAAAAAATTTCCTCCTTATGTCCAATCTAAACTTCCCCTGTTTCAGTTTGAACCCGTTACCCCTTGTCCTGTCACTACACTTCCCTGTTTATTTTTCTTGCTGTATCAGTTGTGATCCAGCTCCAGAAGCTGTGTCATCCCTTCTGCCACAGCAGCTCAGGGACAGGAACAACTGTGACTGCTGAGGAGAGGTCACACGCTCCCTCCTGTTCCCAGCCAAAAGTTCCCACTTCTCTGTCACATGAGATCACAAAAAGCCCTATGTGTAGAGGCAATTTTGAAGGGTTTTGGAACAACATTCCAGGTGCTTTGTGTATGATACAAAAAGGACAGTAACATTTGGACAGATAAAACCATCGCTCCAGCACAGCACTTAACTGAGGGGGAACTGCCAGTTTGCCAGTATAACTGGCCCACTGTGAGGCCAGCTTCTCCTCCTGCTAGGAGACAGGCCCAAAACTAAGTGGAAAAGAACATGGCTGTCAAACCTGAATCAAACATACCCATCCTTCAGTTGCTTCAGCACTTGTAAGCGCAACAAGTTGCTACCCTTTTTGCTCTAAACTCGTTTGGAAACTGACTCCTTTCCTCACCAGTACCATTGCAAGGACCAGCTCCCTTGCTTTCACCTCCTTCTTCCACAACTACAAGCCCTTTATTGACAGTCTGCTTCTAAAAGTTCATGGTTTAAAAATATCTAGCCAAAGTCAGGAAGTGCAGCTTACAACCAGGCTTTTGTTTTCCTGTTAAAAACTTCTTGTGTTCACTTTTTCTTGTCTTCATCGAGCATTCCAGTGTCACTCTAAAATACATGAAGATAAGCGATACCATTCCCAGGAAAAAAATCCTACCCCAGCAAATAACATCTGCAGCTCTTCATCTTTTGACATACAACCCATATGAATTATGTGGTTGTATCTCTTCATTCTAAAGCCAACGCTTACACATCATCATCTTAACGCTTACATATCCCAATGCTTACACATCATCATCTTAAAGCAGTACTTTTGTTTGCAAACTTTTAAAACTTTTAGTTATGAGGATGCTGACTAAGCAAGTGTTACACCAGTGACTACTGCTGTCATTCAGAAAACTATGCTACATGCATACATAGTTTTCGTAACAGCAATGCAATTGTTTGCTGCGACGGAAACACCAAAGTATGCAAATAGAGTGTGTTAGCAAACTTGACTTAACCACAGCAGTATGACACTAGCATGACGTGGTATCAGTGCCATTCTAACATAAACGGGATCTTGGCCTTTGGCTCAAACTGTAAAACACATGCTCCCTTTTCCCTCCCCCACATTTTGTTAAAAGCGACTTCATGGTGAGCTGAGTAATAGCTCTGGGCTTCTTTTCCACTCCACAACTGAAGGGACACTAACTACAGGATGGGACAGAGAGAAAAATCTACTAGAACTGCTCCACGTTGTTGCGATTCCCTCAGAGCAGGCAGGGCTGGAATCATTCGAGTCCTTGCCTTTCCACCAAACTCAAACGAGCAAGTATCAAGTTCCCGCTCATGAGCTGAGCTGCTGCAAGCAGCCACACGAGCTCACCGGCTGCTTCAGCTCCAAGGTACGGAGCAAGCGCGGCACAGTGCGCTGCGATTTAAACAAGCCGTGTCTGACTGCGCTGTTGACAATGTGACAAGGTGCACTTGCAACGAAACTGACACAGCCAAACCCTTGCCTTTTGTATATTTTAAACCCGAGTAATCCTGCACACCCCACTACATCCTGCTGTTGCGTTCAAAGCGAATACGTGTCCGCACCAACAGCGATAAATTGCACTGACATTGGTGCAAACATTAGGAAAGCAAGTTTCAGAAAGTCGTGTGCTTTTAGCACTTGACACCCAGGCTCTGGGAAACAACGCTGTTCATCCTTAGCGCCTGCCTTCAGAGCGCACCGACCGCCCCCCCAGCCCTGCAGCCGCACAGTCCGGGTCAGGGGAGCACGGGGAGCACCAAGAGGCCTCCGGAGCTGCCGAGCCGTGTCCCGCGGCCTCACCTCACGGCCCCGCTCCAGCTCACCTGACACCAGCAAAGCCCCGGCCGCGGCTGCACCTTCTCAGGCCGCCGCCCGGCCGGGAGCCCGATATAGCCCTGGACGGCCTCAGGGCCCTGCAGCGAGGCGGTGGCACCGTTAACCCAGCCCGAGCCCCCGGACGCGGAAGGACCCGTGCGGCCGCGGCCCGGCAGCTGCTGCCAGGCCGCTCGGAGCCGGCGAGGCCCGGAGGCCGCGGCCCGCCCCCGCCGAACTCACGCATGAGGGTGCTGAAGGCCACGACGCCCAAGAGCCCCTGCAGGAAGATGCCGAAGCTGTCCATGAGGGCCCCGTTCTCGCAGCCGCGGTCTCCCGGCCCCACCGCCGCACCCCCGCCCGGCTGCGGGGGGCCGCCGGTGAAGCCGAGGCTGCCGTTGGGCGGCGGTAGCCCCATGGCGAGACCCGGCCAGCGCCCGCCTCAGCGACGCATGGCCACAGCGACGGCGCAACCGGCGGCAGAGCCCACGCCCCCCGCCCCGCTACGTCACCGGCGGCGCCGCGATCCCATTGGCAGAGTCCCGCCCCTGCGGCCCTCTCGGGTCAGCCCCGCAGCTCGGCGTGAGGAGGCGGGGCGGGGCGGGGCAGGTCCGGTCCGCTCGGCCGGCGCCGTGAGCCCTGCGCGCCTCGGCCCCGGTGCCCGCTCCTGTGCTCCGAGCTGCACCAAAGCAAGAGCTCAGGAACGCAAGCGGTTACCTGAACAGAGCAGCGACCAAAGCAGCTGCCTGCTCCCCGCCTTGCACACGCGGATCGCATGCCTCAAGCGCTGCCCTTCAAACAGGGACCTGACCCGCTTCCACAGCTGCTGCCCAACATCGGACGTCCCCCCCACACCCGACCTGGACATTGGCACTGGCTGAGGATTTACCCAGTGCTTCGTTTAAACACGAGATCTACGTTTGAGCCAGGAATCTGGAAACGCAACTTGAAGCGCTTACGCCTCGTTACTCCGTAGTCCACGCTTCAAAACAGACCGGTCTCCCCAGACACCTCCAGTTTTCAGCTCCTCACACCTCCCCTGAGCCCTTCTGAACCCCGTGGCAGACAAGCCGCTGCCTCCTGACACGGGCTAGTCACACGTCTCTCGGGCAGACGCCACTCCGTGAAGGTATCGAAGATTTACCTTAAGCCCTACACGCTTCCGTGCTTCAGGGCAGCGTTAAGCAAATTGATTTCATCTCACTGCTACGTATTTTCTGCAGCCAGTATAAAGTCAGTTCAAGACGACTGAAGCGCAGGCAGGAAACAAGTGCTGAGGAGCATATGGGTACAATCTGCTGCAACCCCAAGTAAGGAAACAAAACCTTTGCAAGGCTGATGTCTGAAACATCCTGTGGAGCCTCAGGTTGTTTAGGGAAAGCAAAGTCAGCTCTTTTTTAAGACTCCAACGTGCTGGGTACGGTAAACCTTTACAAACCCATCCCGAAGGAGCAGCAGAATCTGCAAGGTTCACTTGGGATCTTATCAAGCATCTTCTTATGTTCAAAGCAACCCATGAAAGAAACTAACCTCGATTCATAGGTTCTTCCTCAGCTCCTGTATATTAATTTCAGCATCCTGTGAAACAAAACCTGCTACCTTTGAAGAAGACTTCGATAAATAGGATTCCTGCGTTTGAGGGAGCTGTATACACCCCAGCCAAGCTCTTACCATGATGCCCATGCAATTGGTATTTATGTGGGTGACATGGTTTAGTGTGAGGTGCCCCTGCCCCTGGCAGGGGCGTTGGAACTGGATGATCTTAAGGTCCTTTCCAACCCTAACTATTCTATGACTCTATGATTCTATGTGCATTTACCTTTCATGCAAGTAACAGAACATGCTTTACAGTTTTCACCCCCCACTTTGTGCAAGATAGGAAACTGCTTATGGTAAGCAGCATGAACACATTAACACCAGAACCACCACGAACAGTTTAAGCCTCTTTTTTAATTTTCTTACAACCACTTAAAACTGTCATATACCACAAATTTATGTACACTATTTACAGACAAAACAAGCAAAATATCCATCCAAAATAGTTTTTAAAAAATCCTCTTATTAAATTGTTACACCTGCTCAAACAATGGTGGGACTTCATAGGCATATTTTCTTGTGCATGTTTCTCTTCCATGTAGTACTTCAGTCTCACTGCATATATATATATATATTTAAAAGTTAAAAGAAAGATAAAACAACAAGCAGAAGGGACACAACACAATATGCATTTAAATCTTTGTTTAAGAACAAGCAGCTAATTAAAAAAGGCAAAATACAGGAAAAGTGCATCAGTTCCAATGAGTTAGTATAAGAAAAGAGGCCCACAGGTGGAGAGCAGGTACCCTTCAGGGCAGAGCCTCCTAAAAGACCTCTGATTGTCTATAAAGATTATTTAAAATCTATTTAAAACAAACTGGGGGGAAAAAAAGCAATGAAATGAGAGGAGAAACACGACACCTCCAGACTGATTTTGTTCTCCATGAGGTTTCTTGGAAACTGGTGCTCAACAGCTTTCAGAGTGGGCAGGAACTCGTCGGTGTCCGGACCTCATTGTTCATCCATGTCACTGGAGTGAGCCGGCCCCAGATCCCAAGCAGAAGGCCTACTCCTCTTGTACTGTGCAAGGCTAGGGGGCTTCCACAGGCTCTGCACCACGGCTGTGCTACGTCACTTAGACCTACTGCCTCTGAATTCTGCCAGTGCAAGACCTGCTCACTTCCAGGGTTTAAAGCTGGGCTTTACACCTAACAGTAACTTTGTCTTCTCATCTAAAAGTCCATTTGTAAGTCTGGTGCATTTCAGAACAGATGTGATCTTGAGGAAGCTAGAAATGACCGCGGAGACAAAGCGTCACTAACCTTAACTCATTTTTGCCATATTTCATACACATTATTAATTACTTTTTTTTTTTTTTTTAGAAAAAACACTTCACAATAAAAGGCTTGTTATATCTGGTGCTCCCAAGTCCCATTCTAATCCTTCACCCGAAAGGCTGCCTTTGAAAACAAGGCTACATGCATGTTTGGGGAAGGTCGGCAGCACTCTGAAACAGGGGTTCAGCACACAATCCCTTTAAAATGGAGCCTTCAGCCACCGTTTAAAGTCTCCTGACAGAGCCTATGTCTTTGTGCTTAGTTACTTTTAGGTAATTTGAGCTCACAGTAGGCAGTAACCAGCCTGCCACCATGTGACAAGACTGGTTATGGAGTAGCTTTGTACAGGATCATTGTATTTTTGGCTTTCTGGTAAGGCTACTTCATCTAGTAACTTCTCCTCTAACAACAGATTTGGTCCAAAGGTATGCAGTTTCCAGTATGAGCTTGACAGTTTTGAAGCCTATTCCATTACATTCAAAAAATCTCAGAAGCCGCTTTGCTTTTTGCCAACAACTTAACCAAGTCTTTGTATACAGAGGAATGGAGTGTTCAGTCAAATCAACTGTAAATATATTTACACTTCTGCAGACCTAGCAGCCAGATACTCCTTCCCTCCTTTAAAGCATCACTGGAATCAAGAATAAACACTAGCAAATCCTAAAGAAACAATAAAATACTGCTGAAAGCTTTGACAAGGAAAAGTAATTTTAACAACCATTCCCAAACTCTGTATGTACTGTTTCCATTTCCCAGGAGAGACTACAAGCACTCCGGGAGTTCTACACAACACACAAACGATCTGCCTTTTACTTCATTCCTCAAAGAGCAACTCACAGAAATGTTTAGCATTAGAAAAAAGTAGTCTTTGTTCACCAAGATCAGTGCTGTAACCCTCTGCATTCAGTTTAGGATGGACTGAAGCTGCTCAGGCTTTGGGGGACAATTCTACCACATTAACCTTCTATGACATTTATGGAGGTCAAATACTTCTGTTACGGAATTGTTGGGGTGGTACAGACAGCTATAGTAGCTCAAGAAAACACTTCTGCCTAACAAGGTTTAGCTTAGCACAGTACAAGTGCCAGGTGGAGGCACCACCAGGTTTCCAAAGCTATGATGTGCAAAACCAAGACTGTACCTATGAAAATACACAAGAATACAAACCCTCAGTGGGTCAGCCAAAGGTAGTCTCTTTTTACCATCCACATCAACAAGGCCCAGTGGAGGGCACATTTTCTTGTACTGAAGACATTAGCAAGCCATCAATGTACTCCACCTGTGTTGTATTTTATGATGAATGATGTGGTAGAGGACAGCACAAATCCCTGAAGCCTAAATTACTGCAGCCCCAGCAATTCCTGCTGGTGAAACATCAACAAGACTCAGCCAAAATCCAGTTTTGAAGAAAGAGAGCAACTAAAGCAGCGTGTGAGCTGATTTCAAGTCATGTTGGAGTAAAATGAACAAACACAAGTGCAGTTGTGTCATCTGCCACACACAGAGAAAGAGGAACTTGAAACAGTCAAGTAGAAACACCATTCATCAAGATAAAGCCCCAATTATCCCTTTTAAATCCAGCAATAAAACAGAGTGCATTTTTTCCAGGAAACAGAGTGTACAGTACCCGTGTGCATAAAAACATTTCACAAATAATGAAAACATCCCTTTTGAAAACCTCAACAAAAATAGATCCCATTGGGACCAGACTGTCAGTGCCTCCCAAAACAAGGCAGAAAAATCCAGCCTATAAAACATGCCAAAGGTGACCAGGAAGTATCCCACTAAGCTCTGAAACTGCTGACTGCTTTATTTACTGCATGGAAAAAAAGTATGACATTTGTATTTAAAACCCTAGGCGCCACATTAACAGGTTCACTAAATCATCCTTTAAGCTCTGTTCTCTCCTGCCAATTACTTAAAAAGACATCTATCTGCCCACGGGGAAAGGTGGAAGCAACATCTCTTGGCTATGCAGGTCAGTTCTGCTGGGTATCAGTGCAATGGTGTTCTGGAAACCCTGAAGAATGACAAATCTGATCCAAAAGCATCATCTTCTACCCCAGAAGTTCTCTGCTGGTCACATTTCTCAAGACAAGATGCTGACAGCAAAGCAGCAGTGTTTCTTTCAAAACCTTTTTCAAGCCTAACGGCTTACCACTGAGCTTGCCCTAAGAGAGGGGAGTACAGGTGCATGACCTAAGCAGGATATGAAAGCCGTTTACTGCCCACATACCCAGTGTGAGGAAGAAGGAGGCACGCTTTGATTTCAGTTTAATTGTGTTTTCAGACTCTGCTTACAACTTGGGAGAAAAAAAATCATCCTAGCTACATACTGCCCTCCCTCTCTCAGGAACACCCGGCTATTAAACAGCAGTAAATGTCTGACATTTACTTACTGGTTCTGGAATGGGGAAAAAAGTCTCATTTAGTACTTCTGTAAATAGTGCTGCCTTTAGTAGGCAGTTTTTCTAAGGGGCAAAAGAAATAAACCCCAGTTATTTCGCTGCTTACTCTGAACAGGTTTCATTGAAGGTAGCTCCCCCTCAACACCTATGTGGCAGATGCAGACACACTGTGCAAACTCCACT